ACTGCATTATACTAAATGCTGCTGAGCAGAACATACCAGCTATTGCGTGGACATGAAGGCATTTGTGGTATCCACACATCAGCCTAACCCCAGGAAACCCAGACACAAGAGAAAGCTCAGCGACACACCATGTGGCTAATGGACAATTCTTCTAACCTAATCTCAATCTCTTCACTTTGAAAATGAAGCCATTGAATAGAGTTATCTCTGAAGTTGCTTAAACACTCAAGTTTCCTGATTTTGTGATTAATAGATATCACTCTGCCATTTTCTAATTATAAGAACGTGGGCAGTTTCCCTCTAAGGCAGTTTGCGCATCTGTAAAGTGGAGGTAAGGCTAGCATCTCTTTATTCACATGACATAATCCATGTAAAGCATTTAACACAATGCTTGCAACATAGAAAGTACTCCTATGTATCCGCTGCTTGTCATCATTATCATCACCATCATCATGTTATTATTATAAAAATCACTACTTTATTAGTACTGACATTAATAATAAATACCAAAGTATTCAGTGTACATTTACAACTGATCTTCACCTTCACTTGATGTCACTGCACTACCTGAAGGGACCGAAAAGAATCATTAGGAAACACCTGTGTAAGGCCCCAAAAGGCAAATGTCTCCTCACCAACTGACAGATGAGTGGCAGCTATGGGCTAAGAAAATCTCATTCCACATTTATTGCATCCTGATCGTATCATGGTGAAGTGTTTAAGAAGCAATAAAAAAAAATCACTCTCTGGTCATAATAGATTAATGTACCAGCAGGCAAAGCCCCAAGACACTCTACCATTTGATGGAATAGTTCATTTTAACCTGACCTAAAAAGTGCCACTTTTTCCATAGCACTTTAGTGTCTAGCCATTCATAATTAAGGTGTATGTAGTAGGGAGGAAGGTACAGAGGTCCTTGCTGGACTAGACAATAATTTCTCAAAAAACAAAAAAACAAAAACATTTTCCACAAATTCTCAAACTGCAATTCATTATATATACATTTTAATCAATATCCCCAGTTTTAATTGAAATGGTTTCATTTGGGTCTGGGAGCAAACAAACATTGTGTGTCTTTCCAAAGGAAGTATTTCCACTGATGGTTTACCAGGAGGTCACCTTTTCAGTTTTAATGGAAAACAGATGATAATCCAGACACTGGATAACATTGCAATTAATGAAGGCAGAAGAATGAGCAGAATAGTGTTTAATACATAGAAGTCAGTGAATAATTATTTGTTGAAAGAATAAATAAGTGAATGGCTCTGTGAAAAACTGTCATCCCACATTTTACTTAATTTTAATCTCTCTGAGCTTCATTTTTTTCATTTCTAAATAAGTCCTACCTTTTGAGGTCAGTAGAAAATGACCAAAGACATGATGTCTATAAGCAGGCATGGAATATGGGCTCAGTTAACAGTTGTTATTGTGATAATATGGCTCTACAGACTGCTCCCAAGGCATCCTTGTCTTCATGAAAACATCACTTTATCCCTTGGAGAGAGCTGTACAAATGCCTTGATATCCTCTGGCAATTTTCAGAATGACAATTAGATTCGTGAGGGAAGCAAATTATTGCTGTTTACTCATGGAATTTGGTGTGTGTCAAATCCCCATGTGATTCTGGTCAGCAGCTCCTCTAGATGTAAAATTTCTCATAAAGCAGTGGAGGTAGCAGATATTGGTACAGTCTTTGCAGGAAGCAATGAGACTGTGCATAGGAAGGGCTTAAACCCTTTGGTGTTAGGATGAGTCACAAAGAATGTACCACAGGTGCAGTCACAGATGTATGCACTAGAATATTAATGACATCATTATTCCTATGTAGTCAAAAATGCTGCAATCCCCTTAATATCCAACAGTGTGGTAAATTCAATGGGTACATTATTATGCAGCCATTAAAAATCATGATATGGAAATGTTCAGGATATTTTGTAAAGTTAAAAATTAATAAGATACAATACCAAATTTTATTCATAAAGCATATTAATATACGCTTATATATGTGACCAAAATATCTTACAGTAGTAAAATTATGGGCAATTTTTATTGACTTTAATTTTTTTCTGTAAACAGCATATTTTTCACAGAATAATCATATATATATATATATATATATATGCCTCATATGCTAATTGTCCCTCTGACTGTTTGACCATTCGACCAGTCGCTATGATGTGCACTGACCACCAGGGGGCAGACTCTCCGACCGGTAAGTTAGCTTGTGCTGGAGTCCGGCTGATCAGGACTGGGTGAGATGGGCCGGGCACGCCCTGGAGCCCTCCCGTAGTCTCTCCCCAGCCCTGATCATGCACCAGTGGGGTCCCTCGGCCTGGCCTGTGCCCTCTTGCAATCCAGGACTCCTCAGGGGATGTTGGAGAGCCGGTTTTGGCCTGATCCCCGCAAACTGGGCCGAGGGACCCCACCAGTGCACAAATCCATGCACTGGGCAGCTAGTTTGTTAATAATCAGACAAAATGTGATTAGAACATATAATATACAAATCATGGGGGCTTATAGAAAGTGATATTATCTTCTCAAAGTATAGAAGAGTGAGGATTTCTCGCTTTCCCGAAATTTAGCAGCTCTGCTTCTTCTTGGGTCCTTCCTGTGAGAGTAAAGAAGTCCTGATGAAAAAATATATCCTGAGATGTTGAAGCCTTATTGGACATGTTAGCTTAAAAATGTCATAATTGTAACATGACACCAGGGGAGAAGACTTCATACTGCTAAATGATTTCATGATGGTGATACTGAAGCACCAGTGGGAGATCTATTTCAGAACACAGACAGTTGAAGTGTATTTCAGATAAGCCTCTAAGACAGTGGTTCTCAACCTTCCTAATGCTGCGACCCTTTAATACAGTTCCTCATGTTGTGGTGACCCCAATTTCATTGTTACAAATTGAACATCATTAAAGCATAGTGATTAATCACAAAAACAATATGTAATTATATATGTGTTTTCCGATGGTCTTAGGCAACCCCTGTGAAAGGGTCGTTTGACCCCCAAAGGGGTCGCGACCCACAGGTTGAGAACCGCTGCTCTAAGACATTGCGAACAGTTTACCAAGTCTGTGTTCTATCTTTGTCTTGGACACATGAGACTTCTTTGTTGTTTGGGGTGGACATATTCAATGATTTCTAACATAAAATGAGAGTAGAAATGATGTCTGCCACTTCAAGACCTGGCCCATAAACACCTTCCATGCACACTTCTCAAGGTCTTCTTCTCTTTCTGGATAAGACAATCATAGAGACTTTAGAAGGCACGTGTTGAACATAGCCAAGCTTTCATTAGCCTCTCTCGCTTAATGACTCTCAGAAGAACCATCAGTTAATCTGTACACCCACCCAACTCTGTTAGATGAGCAAGAAATAGACTACATTCTGTTTAATTTGTTACATATTGAAGGGCCTATTTGTTATAGCAGCAAGAGATAACCTACCTAATACAGTCACATCGTCTATCATGTACACTTAGCTGTATACATGGCCTGGCCAAATTCATTCTTTTTTTTTAATTGTCTTATTGCTTAAAGTATTACAAAGAGTATTATATATTCTTGATGAAGAGGTGGAGATGCCACTTTTGTGGATGAACCACTCCATGATAAAAGGTAGAGAATAGTCCATGTGTACCATTTTTTAAGTTGGCACATAAAATTAATCTTCACAATTTGCTTGCTTGCTTTTTTGCTCATTTTTTAATTAAATAATTTATTTATTTCTTGGTCCTTGGGGGTCATTATTTCCACAGGATTCATCTAATCCAAAACCTGTGGTGACCTGGAATGTCCCAAACTCACATGCCAGCTCTCCCAGGGGCTAGCTAATAATGGTGCTTTACTACAAAGCCTCCAGTTCTGCCTGTGTGACTGACTGGAGATACCCAAGTCATAGGTTTATTACTAAAATTAATTGGGAGAGAAATACACTGACAAGCTCTCTAAACACAAGTTCATATTGAAATTATTTAAAATTCTATTTATGTATCAGAGTTCCAACCTTTCAAGCAAATGAATGAGAAAATAAAAAATTTCTCATGTGAAGCACACTAGTTATAAGTAACTGGCATATTTGAGTAAAGAAAGATCAAATTAATAAATGAACTTTATAGTGAGTGGACAATGATTTTTAAGGTAAAGAGAAGCTTTGAAAACCACAACAGATGATTATTGAAGAGCCCAGGAACAGTGTCAAAGTTAAAGTACACAGAATATTCAACCCTAAATTCAAGGTCATTAACACACCCCTGATTTTTCTCCAGTGAATCCTGGGGGAATGCCAGGCAGTTTGGGGGTCCTGTGACAACTGACCCAAGGGAGCCCAGGTTCCCACCAGGCAACAGTCCAACATCACTGGAGTTCCCAAGATCAATATCCATGAGTCTTAAATAATTCTACCCATGGGACAAAGGTGGAAATTTATTAACTTCAGGCCTGTTTCTTTTCAGACCCTCCCCTCCAGAAATTAAAAAAAATTCTGTGGTCCTGCCTCATTCAAGGTCAAACTGTTACAAACTGTTAACTGAAATTAGTAATGACTCCTGGTAGAAACTTCTTAGGCCAGGCCACCTTTGACCCAAATGGAGCATCCATTTTCTCATTGAACTAAAGATTTTCTGGGTCAGCAAATCTCCAGAGAACACAGCACCAAGATCTAGCAAAGCCCATATCATAGGCACCTTGCAATATGCTTGATTTATGAAAAACAATGTCATTTTCTCTTGCTTCTTTGATAATAAATGTATGTGTTCTTATAAGCAGCAGCGTAGTTTTATATGCAAAGACTTTTACATCTTCAATTCTTTTTGTCTTCCTGTGAGAACTGGGACAAGAAAACTTTATAGTGTGCTTTGATTCTCTTTGTAATAAAGGCTGGATGGTTAGCTTTCTTGGTGCAGCTTTCCATGGTAGACAGCTCTGTTTTTTAAAAATGTGCAAGAAATTAATTTTATGAACACTTTGTTCATATTGCTTCTCTACCACTTTTTCCAGGAATGCCCCAGCGGTGTTGTTAACGAAGACACCTTCAAAGAGATTTACTCACAGTTCTTTCCACAGGGAGGTGAGTACGGATGAGGACTTGTTAACGTACTCTCGGTTAGAATTATGCTTGCAATCTCTTTTTCTTTTTCCACTTGGTGCTGCTTTGGCCTTGGGGAGGGGCACTGTGGTAATCATGCAGCTGTCTCTCTTACCCTTCATATACACTCTTTCTTGGTCTGTGTGGGGCAGGCTGAGCTTCAGCCTCAACCCCATGTTCTAGAACTTTCTCTGTGGTGTTTGCTCATCAGTAATTGTTCATTGTTCTTCCTGTGATGGGGAGTGAAGCAGGCATGGACCTACATGGCCATTGGGTGAGGTCACTTCTCTTTGGGTGTTGATCTTGTATCCTAATCCCTTGCTGACTACTTATGCCTGCAATCTTCGGTTTGGTTCATCTTTCAGGGTATAACTACATTTTTAATCATGATGTAGAAGAATTAATATACAGCATGCAAGGGTACATGAGTTTCACTATATCCTAAAAGTAAACTACTTACAAATGAGCAACTATCGATGAGCTTGGTCTTTAGTTTAGCACAAGTGGTATCATTGGTGCCTAGAACTGTGGCTCTCAAATGCACAGTACTTTTGTTGTTATTTTTTAAATTTATCTTTATTGTTGAAATTATTACAGATATCCCCTTTTCCTCCCCCATGGGCCCCTTTGCACAGCACTTTCTGACTATGACGGCCTGGTCCCATGCCTCCAAGCTCTCCCATGCATTTTCGGTGTCATTTGATTCTCCCAACTCTCAAAATTAGGACAAATGTAATTATCCTCAATTTACAGATGTGAAATCTGGGGCTTAGAGAAATTAAATGGCTTGCTGGGGGCCACACATCCATTAAGTGGCAGATCTGGGTTAGAAACTAGATTTCTTTGGAGCCTCGCCTAGGGTCCTTTCTGCTGTTTTTCTATTTTTAGGTAACTCTACTATGACCACCACCCCCCATCTGAGAAAAATGAATACCACGCTAGATATTATTTTAATTGGAAAGAAAACAGGAGTGCAAAATATAATGCATATGTGTTAGAGATGAATGAAGGTCACTAGACATTTCTGTTTGTCCTGCAATCGCCCATCAGGATGCCCAGCTCATGTGTTAGGTGCTGGTAATGTAAGAGTAATGGGATGGGGTACCTGCCCCCAAAGAATGGTCTAGTCTACTGTAGTAGGTGAGCCATGTCAAAATTAAGTGTGTGAGGATAGAGAGCTAAAAAATACTATTGTGGGAGTACAAAGTAGGACAATTCGAGCAGCTGAAGGAAAGGGGGGATATGAAAATGAGGCCATCCAGACAAATTGAATCTGGGCTGATATAAGCACCATTTATCAGGCATCTGGCATGTGTCGGACCCTGTCATGCATTACCCTTCACCTTCCAACAACCCTAGAAATGATTCTCCCTTTTTAATAAATGCAGAAACTAAGGTACAGAGAGGTTCATCCATTTCCTCTTCAATAACTTTTTTTTACTGCTGTCCACTGAAAAGAATTCCCTATCATCTCATGCCAAAATAACTCAATCGTCTCTAAAATCATCTCCCTGATTCTGACTGTCCTCCCTGCTTACCTATCATGGTCAATTCTCAACTCAAACTGAGTGATCCTGCCAGATCATGTCACCACTCTGCTCTATCTTTGTCCCATCAGAGCAGAGGCCACAACCGACATAGGACCTACAGGTTGAGCTTACTAGTCTCCTGCTCCCTCTCTGACTCATCCTTCACCATTCTCCCTGTGGACTCACTAAGTTTCAGTTACACTGGCCTCCTTACCCTTCGTTTGAACTTACTGTTCCTTCTGCCTGGAACTCTCTTCTCTCAAATATCCATTCAATGCCTCACCACCTTTGTTTTTATTCAAATGCCACCCTCCCTTGTCAGTTACACTGGCCTCCTTACCCTTCGTTCCCCCAACGTGGCCATCATATTGCTGCGCTTGTGGCCTTTGAACTTACTGTTCCTTCTGCCTGGAACTCTCTTCTCTCAAATATCCATTCAGTGCCTCACCACCTTTGTTTTTATTGAAATACCACCCTCCCTTAAACTGCAACCCCTTAAACATTCCCCTTCCCCATTCCCTGCTTTATGCTTTTAGCACTCAAGAGCACCTAAAGGTATATACTATTTAACCTCTTTTTATTATGGTTTATTGTCTCTTTCCCCACTGGAATGTCACCTCCAGGAGAGCAGAGTGTTTTGTCTGTTTTGTTCACTGCTGTACCCCCAGGTTGTGGAACAGTGGCTGACAGGTAGCAGAACTGCATAAGCATTCCCTGCCTACATGAGTGAACAGGTGAATGACTGAGTGACTCACCTCGCCTGGTGGCTATAGCAATACAATGGAGTCATTGCTATAATAGGCATTTTGAAAGTTTACAGCACCTAAATATTAGTTATTTCCTACAAAAATTAGATTCTCTTCTGGATTTCAATACAGTTGGTATTAGCAATTTCAGTGGGTTGAAAGTGATTTCGTACATGGATTGTCGAAATAGAAATTTTCATTTAAGATGGCCTTTTAAGAGAAGTTAATTAGAATTCAATTCTAAGAAAACACAGTGTGGCCTATTATTATAGGATTTAGATATGCTGTGTGAGACAACTCCACTCGCTATCTCATTACTAAGGGGCCCATAGACAGGAACTGATTGGTTATGGAGACCACTGCCAGATTGTAATGGGTCCAGTGTCAGCATTAATAAAGAATTTGGAATATTATTTGATTAACTCTTGTATTTCTAGATTATTAAAAGCCATGGAATTTTTAAAGAAAAATCATACTTACTATATATTTAAGTGTCTGCCAACATATTGATAGGCAATAATATCAAAGCACCTAGCACAAATGGAAATCTTTACTTTTTATTATCTCCAATGAAAGTTGTTACATGATACAAATTAGATACAGTTCCACATTAAAAATTAATCTTCACTTGAAAAATAACACTTTGGCATTAAAGAACATTCACTTAAGCACAATTCTTTGCAAAGGATTCTTGTTACAAAATCCAAAGGGATTTGGAGAAAAATTACTTTTGTACTCTTAAAAAATCTTTGATTATTCACGCTAATTGAATGCATAAATCTAAAAGTACCAGGCATAAATAAAGGAAATGAAATATTTTCAAGAATAATAATGTGCCATTTAAAAAATTACTATCATGCATGCAAATGGGATCATGCAGCACTCCTACAAAAGGGAAAAAGTCCTAAGAAAGAACAGCATCTCCAATGGCAGGAAAATTCATACTGTGGCCATCTTCACTCTCCTGTGAATCCATTCACTTAAGTTGCTGATCTGAAAGCAACAGGTGTGTCTCATTATGAGCAGTAACAATGATGGCTCCATCAATCACAATGTCTCACCCTTTCCGACAGGAAGATGCCTTGTCTCATCTACAGCACCTCCTGCAATTTGTATTGTGTCAGGCTCTTCGTTTTCTCTGTTGCTTAGCAAGGCGGTCTACCGCGCACAGCTCGTTTGGTGTTCTGGATGTCAGCACAGCAAGATTCAACAGAAGCTTCTTATTTGCAAGGGATAAAGTCTGCCTGCTATAAAACAAGCCGAGTGGACGTTGTATATTGATGCCTTTACCTAGATCATTACTTTTTCAACTTTACATACAGTGGAAGCTTTAGCATGGATGCTCTCAGCTTACTAAGCATTTTTAAAGATCATAAAAATTGCCATTTCCTGGGCTACTCCTGCTTACGTTGTAAGAATTTTGCACTTACTTTGACTATACTGGGCAGCCGATAAACAGCTATTGAAGGAATGAATGAATGAGCTACAGTTAAAAAATTCTAAGTCAACAAACATTTATTGATCAGCCACTATATTTAAGGCACTTGAGGCACTTAGATGGGTTTGATGGACATAAAGATTTTTCTTTTAATTTTTCAAGTAACTCCATCACTGAATATCTAGGATGATATTTGTAAGAAATTTCAGTATAGATTCATACTATGGCCATCTTCTATACTGAAATTTATATACTGAAATCTATAAAGGGCTTGTTGAACAGAAACCACTATTTATGTATATGAACCTGCCTTACCATAGCAATGGTGCCATGAACTCTATATTCAAATGCTCTATATTCAAAAGTCGATTCCATACATTGTGCTTCAGTTCAGGTAGGGAGTAGGGATTTGTGGTGGGAAGAAAGAAATAAACTAGATTGGTTTCAACACTCAGATCTAAAACATGATCATCTAATATTCTGAAATGAATGTGTATCAATGAAAGGGCTAATTGGTTTGTATCATCATGTGGTCTGGAAATAATTGGGTTAAGGTCACTGGACTAAGTCAAGAGTCCTGAGTTTGTGGCTAGACTATACTGGGCAGCCGATAAACAGCCATTGAAGGAATGAATGAATGAGCTACAGTTAAAAAAATTCTAAGTCAACAAACATTTATTAATCAGCCACTGTATTTAAGGCATTTGAGGCACTTAGATGGGTTTGATGGACATAAAGATATTTCTTTTAATTTTTCAAGTAACTCCATCACTGAATATCTAGGATGATAAGCTAATATTCTGAAATGAATGTGTATCAATGAAAGGGCTAATTGGTATGTATCATCATTGTGGTCTGGAAATAATTGGGTTAAGGTCACTGGACTAAGTCAAGAGTCCTGAGTTTGTGGCTAGACTATACCAAGACCAAGGTGTGTTACTCAAGTGGTTTATTTCTCTGGGTCTCAGGTTGTTTCTCTGTGAAATGGGGGACAACATTTGTGTAATATCTATAAAATGTGGAACAAAGTATCCTCGGCTTTCTCTCTGCTCCAATAATCTTTATTTCTAAGAGTTGGTATGGAGATGTCTTGATTTTATTACTGACTCTACCATTAACTAACGAGGTGACCTTAGCTAAGCCACTGAAAGCACCTGCACTTATTGTTCACCTTTGTTAAACATACATACATAGTTAAGTGATATCCAAGATCCCCTTCTATCCTAAGAACCCATACAGTTTCCCCCACCTGTAAGATTTCAACTTCCCAAGTAAAATTATAAAAAAAACTGAGGCAATCTTGGCGTATCAAATTCAGTAGCTGTTTATGTTATATGTCAGGAAATGTGAACTATCAGGTGATATGGAGAGAACAGAGATTACCAATATCTTTTGAGCCTTGAACTGTATTGAAATCTAGAATTTAAGATTCTACTTATTCATCCTTTTGGCAAATATTTACTATTATCCCAGAAGAATGCAGTCAAATGGAACCAGACCATAGGACTTTTGTGGGCAGTTTTCCTTTTCTTCACCCACCTCTATGCCCAGCCAGATTCTTCAGTGCCTTGGCTCCTTCCTCTTGCCCAGTCAAAGCAAGTAGCATCATTCCCCTTCTTTAAAAGCTTGCAGTGTCGCTGAAACCGGTTTGGTTCAGTGGATAGAGCGTTGGCCTGCAGACTGAAAGGTCCCAAGTTCGATTCCGGTCAAGGGCATGTACCTTGGTTGCAGGCACATCCCCAGTAGGAGATGTGCAGGAGGCCTTTTCTTCACCCACCTCTATGCCCAGCCAGATTCTTCAGTGCCTCGGCTCCTTCCTCTTGCCCAGTCAAAGCAAGTAGCATCACTCCCCTTCTTTAAAATCTTGCAGTGTCTCCAAAGGCCAGCCAGCAGTCCAAAGTCCACCTGAATCATCAATGCCTTTCCAGACACAAATCTACTAGTCCATCGAGCATGAGGTTCTATTAATTAGAACGCCAGTCACTTAAACATACAACAGAGTTTATAAAAAAAAATAGGAAGCTTTTCAGGTGAAAATATATTACATTTGTAAAAATAATTGGTCACATGTCTTTAAGGTAGCTGAAATAAAAGTGTCTTGTCTATGAAAGAATACCTAATATTTATTGAACATTTAATATATACCTAGGACTGTTCTAAGTACTTTGCATATAGTATTTCATCTAATCTTTTCGTAATGACTCTATGAAGTACATATTGTTACAGTTTTACTGGAAACTGAGTCACAGAGAGATGAAACAACTTGTCCAAGGTCACGCAGTTACTATTTGGTCGAGCTGAGATTCAAGTTCAGGCAGTCTGACTTGACTACACTATTAACAACTGCTCTCTGCACAGAGTGCCTAGGCTGTTAAACTGCTTCACTTCCCAGAGAATTGCAAAGGTACATTTAGAAGAACAAGAAGTCCTCTGTACCATGTTAGGGCAGACCTTTAGAGTGTCTGTCCCACATGTCAAACTTTAAAGCTAGAGCATTTGAGAAGAATGGTAATTATTTATGTCCATGTTTGTTAAATTTAAAAAATTCTCAGCACTGTTTGTTCTGAGCCATTATTCATGGTGAATTCTACTTGCTACAGTAAAAGCATTCACTCTGGTTGTATAAATAGGGTAACAAGAGACCTGCTTAATAAAGCTCATTATAAAATATGCAAAATCTCTTTTTTCTCCTTGAAAATATACGACTTGTCATCTGATATCTCCATAGGGCACTAAATCGTTCCAGAACTCTGTGTAAGAGTACTGTTGAGAGCAAAACAACTTTGCGAATAAAATAGGCTGCCAATTCTCGATAACTCTGTACCAGAACGTCCCAACAATTTCGCTGAGTTGGTTGCAATTAACCCCTGGTCCCATATTCAAAGATTTCTTCCTGCAACCCACCCATACCTGATGGACATCCACTCTACATATAGGGTCTTTATATATTATTCAGACCCAATTGTAGTAGCTGTTTAGTTCATTGAAAACAGTGTTAATAATTCATACGTTTAAAAATAAGCAATTCCTTATATCATATTTAAAGCTCAGAGATGAAAGAAAATTCTACCTTCATTTTGAGAAACTGAATGTACAATCTACCTCATGAAGTATATGGCCTTCAATATCGTTAACCACTGGGGTAAAGCATTCAGGAACAATAATCCATAAGTAGCCACAGGCACTTGAGAGCAGGGAAGGAAGTTTGCATGACCTCTGACCTCCCTTATTTGGGGAGGACAATTACCTATTCCAGCTACTATGACTTAGTGTTTTTGACAACCTTTGAAGAGCAATTCATAAAGTAAAAGGTGAATAGAAGTTTTGTTAAAATCCCAATAAAAATAAAGGTTAAAAGTTCTAAAGCAGAAATGGATTTTTAACGGAAGATAAAGGCTAGAGCCAATGAGCTAAAAGGTTACAAGTTTTGTTAATATAAAAAAAAAGGTTAAGGTAAAAGGCTAAAACCCATGAGATGAAACATTTAAAATAATCAAGTAGATTTGATCAAGAGTCAAGCACACAAGCACTTAAAAATGAAAACTGTGCACTAAGAAAAGAAAACAGTAAGAAAAAGTCTGTACTTTTAAAATAGAAAAGCACAAAGCTCAGAGATTAGGGAGACAAAGGAGAAACAGAAGAGGAAGGAAGGCTTACAGGGAAAAAAAAAACCTATGAAGGGGAAGGGGTGGATTTCAGAGTACTTTAGTGTCATTAGGCAGCATGATAAGACATTGGGGACAGAGAGCCTTCCAAAACTGATTCAGAGCCCCAAATCCCACCCAGGACCCAGCCAGGGCAGGGGCTCCCTGCTGCTTGCCACCAGGAACTTTTAAGGCCACACAACCCCCTTCCAACAAGGGGACAGACACTTGCCAAGTCACTGCTGGCTCAAATTTACTGGCTATGGGCTAGCCTGGATTTTTAGTGAGAAAGATCCGAGTTATGTGCCACTCTACTCCTTATTGACTGTGTGACTTTGGGCAAGTTTCTCAACCTCTCTGAGTCTCAGTAGCTTAACTAAATTATGAAATTGAGGAACGACACTAATAATAGCAATTCGTCTGTGTCTCATTCGTAGTATTTTTATTCTTTTACTTCTAGAGATTACCCCTGCCAAGCACTAAGCTATTTCCAGATGGTCTCACTTAATCCTCCCACCCACCTATGGTACTAATGACTCCTCCCGGAGCCAGTAACGTCATTCAAGACACCCAAGTGTTCGGATCATTTCTAGCCAGAAAGTTACCGAGGTGTCTGCCATCCATGGCCTCTATGTAGGTAGCTCACTCCTGTGAATCTCAAATTACAATCCTCTACTGAAAGGAGGCGGGCAACTAGGAAGAAAGCACCAGTTAACAGAGAAAATTTTCCTGCTTGGCCTAGGACTTTGGCATGTTATACAAGTCTTACGTAGGATATTGAAACGCTGACTTAATAATATTCCCTTTTCAACATTTCAGACTCTACAACGTATGCACATTTTCTGTTCAATGCGTTTGACACAGACCACAATGGAGCTGTGAGTTTTGAGGTAAGTCTCGCACCACCAGTTAACGGAGAAAATTTTCCTGCTTGGCCTAGGACTGGGGCATGTTATACAAGTCTTACGTAGGATATTGAAACGCTGACTTAATAATATTCCCTTTTCAACATTTCAGACTCTACAACGTATGCACATTTTCTGTTCAATGCGTTTGACACAGACCACAATGGAGCTGTGAGTTTTGAGGTAAGTCTTAGACTTTTTCTTTATTGTGACTTGACTTCAGACACTGAAAGGGATTTAATCTTTTTAGTTGGAAATTTTGAGCTTGATTTTTAATTTTTTGTTTTGAGCCTTTTATTCGGTGGATTTTTTTCATCTTTTTATCAATTGTTGATAATATTACATATTCCCCTTTGTTCTCCCATTGGCCCCTTATGATCCTCTCCTCCCCACCGACCCCAGGCCTCCACTACCCTATTGTCTGTGTCCATGGGTTATGAATATATGCATACAAGTTCTTTGGTTGATCTCTTCCCATTCGCCCACCCCTTTTATTCTTTTTTTTATTATTATGGTAAGAATGTTCAACATGAGATCTACCCTCCTAACAAATATTTAAGTGTACAATACATTACTGTTGACTATAAGTACAATGTTGTACAGCAGATCTCCAGAGCTTAGTGATCTTGCTTGACTGAAACTTTTTATGCCTGTAGAGATCCTGGTTGCAATTCTTTCAGATAAATATTCGGAAGTGGGATTGCTGAATCATATGGCAGTTCTATTTTTAATTATTTTGAAGAACCTTCATACTATTTTCCATAGTGGCTACACCATTTTGCATTCCTATTAACAGTGTGCAAATTTTCCAAATCCTCCATGTCCTCCTCAACACATCACCTTTCAGTTTTTTCATCCTGATACATGTGAGATGATATATTATTGTGGTTTTTATTTGAATTTCACTGGTGATTAGTGATGCTGGATATTTTTAATATACCTGTTGGCCATTTGTATATATTCTTCAGAGAAATAAGTGTTCAAGTCCTCAGCTTATTTTTAAAATTGAGTTACTAGAATTTTTTTTATATTGAGTTATAGGAGTTTCTTATATATTTTGGAGATAACACCTTATCAGATATATGGTTTATAAATATTTTCTCCTATTCTGTAGGATCCCTTTTCACTTTGTTGTGCCTTTTGCTGTACAGAAGCCTTTTTAGTTTGATGTAATTCAATTTATTTATTTTTTGTTGTTGTTGCCTGTGCTTTGGTGTCTTATCCATAAAATCATTGCCAAGACCAATGTCATGAAGTTTTCCCCCAACTTTACTTCTTAGAATTTTATGGTTTCAGGTCTTAATCTATTTTAAATAATAATTGTGCATAAAGTCAGGATCCAATTTTATTATTTTAGGTGTGTATATATCCATTTTTTCTAACATGATTTGTTAAAGAAACTATCCTTTTCCTTTCCCCATTGTGTATTGTTGGCAGCCTTGTCAAAGATCAGTTGACTGTATATGCAAGGGTATATTTCTGCACTCCTATTCTGTTCCATTGATCTATATGTCTGTCTTTATGCCAGTACCATACTGTTTTCATTACTATAGCTTTGTAATATATTTTAAAATCAGGAAGTGTGATGCCTCCAACTTTGTTCTCTTATTCAGGATTTACTTGGATGTTTCTGGTCTTTTGTGGCTCCATTTGAATTGTGGAATGGTGTTTTATAAAAAACACCATTGGAATTTTGATAGGCATTGCATTAATCTTCAGATAGCTTTAGATAGTATGGACATTTTACCAATATTAAACCTTTTAGTCCACTAACTCTCCATTTGTTTGTGTCTTCTTTAATTTCTTTCATCAGTGTTTTATAGTGTTTGATATACAAATCTTTCATCTTCTTAGTTACATTTATATCTAAGTATTTTATTCTATTTTTTTGGTGCTATTGTAATTTCCTTTTGGATAGTTCATTGTTACAGAAATTCAACTGCTTTTTGTGTGTTGATTTTGTTTGCAGCTTCACTGAATTTGTTTACTAGTTCTAGCAGTTCTTCATAGACTCTATGATTTTCTGCATATAAGATCATGTCATCCGATTTCTTTTTCCTCACTAATGTCTCTGGCTAGGACTTCCAGCACTGTGTTGAAAAGAAGTGGCAAGAGTGGCTATCCTTGTCTTGCTTCTGATCTTAGAGGGAAAGCATTCAGTTTATTATCATTCAGCATGATGTTAGCTGTCGGCTTTTTATATATGGTCTTTATTATGTTCAGATAATTTCCTTCTATTCCTAGTTTGTGGTGAGTTTTTATCATGGATGTGTGTTGAACTTTGTCAAAGGCTTTTTCTGCATCTATTGGCATGATCAGGTGGTTTTTATCCTTTACTCTGTTAACATGGTATGTTACATCTATTAATTGTCTTATGTTGAACCATCCTTCCATCCCAGGGATTAATCATACTTGGTCCTGGTATATGGTCCTTTGAATGTGCTATTGTTTGACTTGCTCATATTTGGTTGAGGATTTTGTATCTATATTTTCAGGCATATTGGCCTGAGTCTCCTTTTCTTGTGATGTCTTTGTCTGGCTTTAGTGTCAGGGTAATGCTGGCCTCATAAATGAATTTGGAAGTATTCCTTACTCATCAATTTTTTGAAAGAGGTTGATTAATTCTTTAAATGTTTGGCAGAAATCACCAGTGCAGCCATCTGGTCCTGGGCTTTTCTTTGTTGGGGGTTTTGGATTACTGATTCAATCTCCCAGTTATAGGTCTGTGCAGACTTCCTTTTTTCTTACATAATTTAGTCTTGGTACATTGTATGTCTCTTGAAATTAACCTAATTTTTCTAAGTTCTTTAGTCTGTTGGCATAGAGTTGTTTTTAGTAGTCTCTTATAATTCTTTTTATTTCTGCAGCATTAGTTGTAATGTCTCCTCTTTAATTTCTGATTTATTTATTTATTTGAGTATTCTATCTTGTTTTTAAATATGTTTTTATTGATCTCAGAGAGAGAGAAAGGGAGAAGGATAGAGAGATAGAAACATCGATGAGAGAGAAACATCCATCAGCTGCCTCCTGCACGCCCCCTACTGGGGATGGAGCCCACAATTCCAGAATATGCCCTGACCTGGAATCAAACTGGTGACCTCTTGATTCATGGGCCGATGCTCAACCATTGAGCCACACTGGCCAGGCAAGTCTTTAATCTTTTTTTTCTCTTAGTCTAGCTAATTGTTTGTCAATTTTGTTTATCTTTTCAAAATATAAAATAAAAATCAGTTTCATTGATTTTTTTTTCTATTGTCTATTTCATTTATTTCTGCTCTGATTTTTATTTTCTTTCTTCTGCTAATTTTAAGCTTAGTTTATCCTTTTGCTACCTCCTTGAAGTGTACAGTTACATTATTTATTTGAGATATGTCTTCCTTTTTCATGTTGGCATTTATTGCTATAAACTTCCCCCCTAGTACTTCTTGATAATTTTTAAGCACACACACACACTGAAAAAAAAGCCCAAGAATTTATTCTTCCCATCATTTTATTGTCACAAAACTATCCTTATCTTTTAAAAGAAGTGCAAATTACAACACACATTTACTTTGCTGTCTAATATTATATATCTGTTTTTACAAGAAAAGTACATTTCCCAAATTACATGACAACAATCCCAGAAGACAAACAATTTAACTAACCTTTAGGGCATCTGCTATGGGTCTATAACTCTGGTAGGCCTTTGAAATACAAAGCTGATAAAGTCAAAATCCTGCCTTCTAAGGCTCAGAAAGTGGGGGAGACAAGAAAGAAATGAAATATAACAGAATGCTATATTCACCAGCCTGACAATTTTACAAGGAGATCCCTTTTCAAATTATGTACATTAAATTATTTGTATTTAATTTTGTTTATGAAATGTATTTAATTTTTTATGAAATTAAAGAAATAGATAGTTTATTTCTGGAAATTTTCATTTAATAATTTTGGACTGTGGTCAACCATGGGTAACTGAACCCAAGGGAAGCAAAAGTTGTGGATATGGGGGGACTGCTCTAGCAACTATTTATTCTGAGTCCGGACAGGAGCTGATACAAGCCCGAAGTACAATTGGGGTCACTGGAGATGAAAAGGAGGAGACAAGATCAAGAGACGTGAAACTGAGTAGAATTATCTTTCAATACAACCTGTCATGTTTGGGAGGTGAAGTTCATTCATTCACCGCCAGCTGCCTGGAAGCGGGAGCTTTGTGAGGTCAGGGTGAAAGGACAAAGGCACAGCTCTCTGAGATGTCACTCAGTCAGTGGCCGCAGGGGCAGAGGCACCAGGACAACCAAGTGTCTGCTCACAAGTACGAGGGTCTCATGCAGATTGAATGCTGGTGAAATGAAGAATCTGGGCCAGGAACTTCATGTCCCCTTACATACCTTAACCAAGACATACCAGGGCCAAGAGAAGAGTAGAAGCTGGCGGTGGCTCAGTAGGAGGTGTGGACTAAGAAGACTGCAGGCATCAAGGCCAGGGCAATGGGCTTTATCTCGAATGTGGCAGCAGCAGGTATCGGGAGGGAGGGGGAGAGAGGAGGGAACAGAGGAGACACGTGAGAGTGTCATAGGTACCAGGGCCCCACTGACGATAGCTTACAATCACCCCATGATAACGTGTGCATTAGCATGTACTGCACTTAACCTACAAGATGAGTTCCGGCACAGCCTTAGTGTCGCTCTACTATGGAAGTCAACGTCTCCAGTTCACCTAATGAAGTCGTTCAGTGCTAGTTTGCAGAGAATGAGTAAGGCACAAACTACGAGCAGTTTCATTTACTTGAAATTACTTCTGTGTCAGAAATGAAACATCAATTACCTATAGCACATTGTATCTAATTTCATATGTAAATTTAGTCTGGTGTTAATGATACGGGCCCATGCATAGCACTGCTGCTGTAATATTTATGCAGAATGCCGGTAATTATGATGAATGTTGATTGTAACTTGGAAAATTAGCTGTAATGGCTATATACTATAAGCATGCTGGTAAATGTC